ATGGAAATGTTTTTCGTCAAATTTTTTAATGCTAAGGATAGATAAGTAATTTTTAATATTTTCCTCTGAAACCCCTCAAATTTGGGAAACTTTAATTTTAAGAGTAAGAAATGTTTTAGAGGATTTTAAAAAAATCCTCAATTCTCTTCTCCCATTTTTTTTAAACACAGAAATAAGGAAGGGATTAATAAAACTCTCCCGTTTCCTTTCTTTCCTTTTCCTCCTAAAACTAACTTTTGGGACATTGTCTATTAGGACCTGTCACAGAAGTTCCTCAAAAGCTTTACTACTAGCAGAATTCACCTAAAGTCGTCTCAAACCCTGTTCATTGTTCTCACTTAGGAGTATAAATACAGCTCATTTTTTTTACGCAATTTACTTATTATCAAGTTATCAATCATGTTTTCATTCAAAAAAATTCTATTCATTCAGCATGCACTGGTTAAGCATTGAGATCAAATGCAGCAAAAGGACTATCATCTCATTATTACTCAATTCTCTTCACTATGCAAATTTTGCACTCGAAGAATTCAGTGCAAGAGTAAAGTGCCCTTCCTCGGCTGAGGAGATGGTCACTAGAATGCGTATAGACATCAAGTAAATGACAAAACAATACTCCAGTTAAACGACTCAGCAAAACAAATAAATATCACTATTTGTAGTCTTCTTAAAAATCTTCACTTGCCCAAGAGAATTGAGCAAAATTTTGTGAACACGGCAAGTATACCGGTCATATAAGTAATAAAGTGAACGAGTAGAGTATCGTTCCCACGAGGACTAATTACAAGCAATAGTTTCATCGTTTTTATCTAAGTTAGATAATTCAAAAGGTGATTTCACAGGCAACCAATATTTAATTAAAATTAAATATAGATGATATTAAAAGAAATTAATTAAAAAGATGAACTTGAAATTATGAATAAAAATGCTGTTAGGTTTACTTCACCTCCGATCTCCCTTAATTGGTTTAATTACAATTGAAATAATATTCTATCTCAATTATTTCAAACAATTCATCATCTAAAAATTAATTGGTTAAATTCTAATGTCTTAGTTTTTTATCCTTTTAACCCAATCGAAATCCTAATGTCCTAGAAATCCCTTTTAGATTAAGCCTTAAGCGCGATGAATTATAAAAGTTTGTAATTCCTACAAGCTTATGTCCATATCATGCAAGAATAGGTATTCTACCCCTGTCTAGATCAAGATCCCAATATATCTATTGTGAATCCTAACCCTCTTTATCCCTATATAATTGGCTAGATTATACAAGAATTTAAGAATGCAAATCAAGGTAAACACAAATAATTTAAGACAGTTTATTAATGAAAAAATATAAACCAAAACAAGGATTCACGTTGGATCCATATTCCTAACTATAAAAGAAACTTAGCCAGACATAGTTGGCTAAAACAAATTAAAGAAAGAAAAAGAAGTAGAAGAAGTCATGAAAAAGAAGAAGAAGAAGAAAAGAAATCAATGTTGCCAAATTCTTCAAGCTTCTCTCTCAGAAATCTTCAATCTCTAGCAAAAGCTCCTCTCCTTCTAAATGTGACAACCTATTTCTATTTCCAAGAGTTGCCTTTTTATAGTGATGAACCATATCTTTTAATTTCGCATAATATCTTCAATAGAATCTTCACTAGAATCTCCAATCATTTCTTTAATAAATCTTTAAAACCTTTCCTTTTATATTTAAAGGAATACTTTCCTTAAAGATATTGAAGGGAAGATTCAATAAGATCTTCAATGAATTATATGATTTAGAAATCCAAAGCAAATCCATTAAGCTCTCTGATTTATCTCTCTTTTGAGCTGGAAATTACTGCAAAATATAAGAATTTTTATGAGAACATTAATGAGAATAAAATAACAATTTAATTACAATTCTCATATCTTTTAATTATCTTTTAAATCAATTTCATGCTCATATTAACCCTTAATACATAATAAATTGGAGACACATCAGAAAATCTCTTGGACTATAATCTCGAAGGCACTCACCAACTTCTGATAGCTCACCTTCTCATTTTCTGGCCTAGCTAGCTCAAGGTCGGTCAGACCCTTCTCCACCTTTTGAGCTCGCTTGATGGCTACCTTGAACACCTTGGAAGATTCAATTTCTTGCTTTTGTTGATGTTCCACCTTGGCTTGAAGTTGGCCCGCCTTAACAACTTCTTCCTCCTTCTCTTTCTTCAGCTACTTGACCTTGAATATTGCAGAACTCATTTTCCATTCTTCTTAGTAAGGGAAGCAACCTTTACTAGCCTCCTCAATACGTCCCAAGTATGAAACAACTGGTAAGCTTAGGGATATACTTGAGCGTCTGGACCTCCATCCGATTAAAGTCCACATCATTAATTGTGTACGCGACAAGATTAAGGATAGCGTGAAGCTCATCAATAAACATGAACATCCAAATTGTGAGTCTCAGGAAAGCTTCACAATGTTGGTATCATTGTCGAAGCCACTAATCGACTCACCCTAAACATATAAAATTGAAAGATTTGGAGAAGAAGACTTGTCCTGAATGGAGGCTACTGGTAGATTGACCCTAGCTAAAGCTGTCTTAAATGCACTGCCGACATATACCATTCAAACGTCGATTGTGCCACTCACAATTTGTGATGACATCCAAAACTGCACTAGGAACTTTGTGTGGGGTTCGACTAGTACCAAAAGGAAAACTCATTTAGTCGATTGGGAGATAGATTGAAAATTGCCAAAGGAGGGAGGGCTGGGCTTAAAGGACCTTCGATCGTTCAATAGTGCAATGATTATGAAAGTGGGTCACAAAATTATCACAAACAAGGATAGCGTTTGGGCTAGGGTTTTGAGGAATAAATATAGAGTGGGCCTAAGCTAATTCCTACCATACCCAGAAAGACTAACAGCTCAAATTTGTGGAAGGGAGTTTCGAAACTCTGGGGTAAGATAGCAGATGGGTCAAGGATCTTTTTAGAGATGGGCATTCAACAAATTTCTGGAAGCATGCTTGGTTGCCCTCTGGCAGAGTGTTTGACTTTACAGTGAACCATGTTCCCGAATCCATGCTGGAAGGGAAGGTAGCGGAGTACGTCGATTCTAATGTAAACTGGAACTGGACCATTTTCAACCACCTTATATCTAACGAGGGCATGAATTTTATCGCGGGGATCATGCCTCCAGAGACAAATGGTGGGGTGAGGATAAAGTTACATGGGCTCACTCTAATGATTGAAAATTTACCATCAAATCTGCTTACCAAAAACTGACCACCGAGGAGGACCATTTGAGTACTGTTGAATGGAAACTAGCTGGAAATGTAATGGCCCGCAGAGAATCAGAACCTTTATTTGGCTACTGTTGGGAAATAAACTTCTTACAAACAATATGAGGTACATAAGACATATGTGCACTTCATCCATATGTCCTAGATGTAATTTACAGGTGGAAGACTCCCTTCATCTCCTTCAAGACTGCACTTGGGCAAGGGACGTTTGGCTCCACCTTTTGAGCTTTAATGACCGAGTAACTTTCTTTCAGGGGAATGTAATGGACTGGGTTTCCAGGAACCTTAAGGACTGCAGAACTGGTCCATCCCAAACCGAGTGGAATCTGCTCTTTGGAGTCACGTGTTGGCATATATGGAAGGAAAGGAATAACTTTGTTTTTAAGAGCGCATCAGATAGTCCCCAGCGAGTGAGTTTCAGGGCTTCCCAGTTTTCTCGAAATGCTCGACATGCTCACCATACGCTGGTGAAGGCAGGCCTTGTAGTGAGACAGAAACAACTAGCGTTTATCAAGTTGTGTCTCCCAGATCCAGGGTGGGTTAAGGTTAATACTGATGGAGCTAGTAGCAATAATGGAAGAAAATCAGGTTGTGGTGGTGTGATCAGGAATAGCCAAGGAGGATGGATTGTGGGTTTTAGCAAGAACACAGGTTTCAATAACTCCTTCATGGCGAAACTGTGGGGCATCTTAACTAGGGTTGGCAAAATGGGCCAACCTGGCTCGACCCGGCCCAACCCGCATTCAATTTGTAAAAATCAGGTCGGGTTAGGGTTGGCTCGAAAAAATAAACGAGCCAGAAAACCCAACCCAGCCCAACCCGAGCCGAGTTAAGGTTGGCTCGCGGGTTGGCTCGGAAAAAAGCTCGCGGATTGGCTCAAAAAAAGCTCGCGGGTTGGCTCGAAATGATGCCAGTGGGTTGGCTCGCGGGTTGGCTCGCAAGTTGTCTAAAAACTTGATTTTTGTGGAACATAACCAATATAACATAACCAATAAATTAAAAAATCCCAACATAGCAGTAGACAAACACATTACAAAATAAAAATTGTCCTATGAGTTCCCATGGCCAATACAGACATACAGTACAATATCAAAATCTAAACATCCAAAAGTACACCATCATCATTAGATTATCTACAAAGTTTCATGACCATTAGATCCCCGTGAAGAAGCTAATATATGGGAAATACCATCATCATCTACAAAATACAAACCATAAAATGTAAATAATCAATTAAGGTTACAATGACAAATGAAAATGAAATTTTAATTGCATTGAAAATAAATAAATTACCATTGGCAACAAAACTAGCCAACCAATTGCGTATACATACCAAAGCTTCAACATTCTTTGACAACAACTTATTTCTATATTTGTTAAGCACACGTGATCCAATGCTAAAAGCAGATTCAGATGCCACAGTGGTAATAGGAATGCTTAACAAGTCACAAGCCATTAATAGATTCGGAAAACGACAACTATTATCCTTCCACCATTGCAATGCATCAAAACTATTCCAGTTGTCAATAATCAATATAGGCTCCTCTAAATAAACATAAAGTTCAGATTTTCCAACTTTTATTGCAAGGTGTTGATTGTGCAAGAAAAATTCCTATCATATTTGAGAAGTGCAAAAACATAATAATTGAAGTAAGTAAGTACATGCATAAATTGAGGCGAGAAAATGAATATATAACATAATTAAAGCTTTTTGCTAAACATGAACATACATCAAAGATCTCATCATTCCATCCTCTCGTTTCCATTGACCCTTGACTTGAAGAGGGAGTGTTATCTTGACTTTGATCAGTGGTAGTTGATGTTACATAATTATCAAAGAGCTTATACATGTTTGCCTTTATATTTTCCATCTTGTCATCATGTGTGTAAGCATCAATCTTTCTATGACAAAAAGATAATGTAGTAAACTTAATGCGAGGATCAAGAACAACTCCCAGTGAAAGCACATCACTATACTCTTCCCAATATTTTTGAAACTTATCCATCATCTTATTAGCCATGCTACTTACAACCACATCTTCATCAGTACTCATACGAATGAGAACACGCTGAATTTTCCAAACTTGTAGAAAATACAAGTTAGAAGTAGGATAAGAAGTGTCAGACATCAAATTAGTGATCTCACAAAATGGTTGCAAGAACCGACAAAGAATTTCCAACCTATTCCACTCTTCTTCTGAAGGAAAATACTTGTAATTTCTATCACTCAATTGGAGAATTGATAACTCACGCCTGAATTTGAGAGCACGATCAAGCATTTCATAAGTGGAATTCCATCTAGTGGGTACATCTGCTATCAATGCAGTTACAGTGTTCTCACCACCAACTTGTTCAATGCACTCCTTAAATTTGATCATTCTTGATTCTGAGCCTTTTATATATTTAACACTCTCTCTAATCCGAGACAAGGCATCATTTGCAACTTTTACTCCATCTTGAACAATCAAATTCAATATGTGTGCAGAACAACGCACATGGAAAAATTTCTCATCACATAACAACAATTTTTGCATATTCAATTGGCTTCTCAAACCACCAACCATAGAGTCATTTGCAGATGCATTATCCAAAGTAATGGTAAAAATCTTCTTCTCTACGCCCCATTCCTTTAACAAACCAAGTATTTTATGAGTCAATTCAAATCCAGTATGAGGAGGAGGCATATGACGGAAGGCAATAATTTTACTATTCAGCTTCCAATTTACATCAATGAAATGGGCAGTTAAGAAAACATAACCCTCAGTATTACAAGATGTCCACAAATATGAAGTTAAGCATATCCTACTTTCAATGCTACCAAACATATTTTTCAGCTTCATCTTGTCTCTCATGTGCACATTTAAAACATCTTGTTTAAGAGTATTTCTAGAAATGCCAGTCCAATCTGGATTCAAGTAATTATGAAAACGCCTAAACTTCTTATACTCAACAAAGTTAAAGGGCTGGTCATGTTCAATAACAGCTTCAGCATACATCTCACGTGCTACCTTCATATCTATTTTTATAGCCTTCATTTTACCTTTCATGTCTAAAATGACTTGGCCAATATCTTCATGTTTGATTTGTATGCATTTGTCAATGTGACGGTTTAAAGTAGACGTACCGCAAGTCTTACTGTCCATCTTGTACTCTATCTTGCAACCATTGCATCTTGCCTTTTCATGCCCTTTTTCTCCTAGTATTGTGAAATATTTCCAGCAACGCGCTTTCCTTTTCCTAGGCTTTTTAAAAGCAGGTCCTTCTTCAACTTCCAATTCATCGCTTTCTGCATCAGCATCATTGCCCTCTTCAATGAATGCCAAACTTTCCCTACATCAAAGTTTAATATAAAATTACTATAGCGGAAATGGAAATGAGAGATTTGAAAAATAGGAAAATATTTACCTATTCGAATCAGCCATTTCAGAGAGATTTAAAGTCTGCACGTTACAAATTTGATGCCTGCATGTAAAAAATTAGGACAGATCAACATAGGTAAGGTTAGAAAAATTAGGACAGATCAACACAGGTATTTATAGTTCTTGCATAAATTGCTTCATGACTATAAAGATCAATACAGAAATTTAGGCTTTAAGATTTCATTTACTTGGTATAGTGTTAAATAATCAGGTTTTACAGCATGAATTAGTATCAATTTGTGTGATTTAATGATGGAAAAAGAGGTTAATATCCTAGAATGTCCTCAACTACAAGTTCAAGAAGCTTTATTGAAAATTTGCATTGTTCTTGTAGGAAAATCAAGCTTAAAAGGCAACTGGGAGAAGGAATAAGATTCTGAAGAAGAGAAAAATTCTAAGTGTTGAGCACTAAAACATCCATACAGGACGTTTTAGCGCCCTGTTACAGAAAGAAGCCAAAAGATGCTGGTCTGGAGCGCTAAAACGTCCATCCAGAACGTTTTAGCGCGCTGCTGCACGTCAAAGCCAAAAATATGCTGGTCTTCAGCGCTAAAACGCCCAAACAAAAGGTTTTAACGCTGAAGCCAGTTGAAAGCAGTTGAATGGATGTTGAAGATGGCGCTAAAACGTCCAGGAGGGAGCGTTTTAGCGTCCGTGTTAGTTTTGGCAGTTTTTCAGTTGCAACTTGTAATTTATATGGGGTTTTTGGCGTCCAGGAGGGAAAATTGTTTTTTGATTACTTGTTTTATTAAATCCCAATTCATATTTTAGTATTATATTAAGTTACTTTCAAATCAATTTTCTGGTGACAAAACATTCATGATTTTTACAAACTCTTGTTTGATTCAGATTAGTTTTCTATGGTTAATTGGTGTTTGAATATAAATCTCTGTTTACTGATGATAAAATCAAATGAACATACAAGAGACATTTCTCTTGCCAAATGCCAAGGGGCACTCCCCTTATCAAAATGAGCACTCTAGGCCAATATTCAGAAAAATACCCAGTCTATCACATATAGAGGGAAACACCTCCTTTTAGACAAACAAAACCTTCCTCTAACTAACTTTCTAATGACTAACTATATTCTTTAAGAAGGAATATTCTTTCCCTCCCAATGCAAACTGTATCCAAAGTTCACTAAAAAAAATGACACGGAATGCATATTTATATATCTTAAAAAGTAATAGCATGACAATTGACAAGAGTAAAACCAATATAAGAAATTAATACTGGAACTGTTAGTCCTCCTATGGTATGCAGTATCATTGCATTTATTTCTCAATCTTATATTCATCGCGAAGCTGAGTTAATAGAAGTAGCTATCTTGTAAATATCTTGCTTGGTTTACTGTAAAAAACGAATGCCTTTTCTAGTTAAGATGGAGAGTTGAGATAATGTGGAATTTGACATAAAAAAATTAGTAAGCTACCTCTTTTTTGGTTGGCTGTAAGTATTAAACTCACACTTCAGTAATGAGATGATAAAATTTGTATTCCGTGTTGTATAGCTTATCCTTGATAGATGAATTCAAAAATTATAACATGACTTCAAAAATTATAACCTGAGAAAAATCAACAAGTACCATTATAAATCAAGTAACCAACAGCATCGAATCGAATCAGAGAATAAAAATCCATGTCGAAGGGGGGAAATGAATGACCTGAGGAGATGAGAATCAGTGATGTCCTGCAAATCTGGTGACTTCGAGTTGGAGCTGCTGACTTCTAGTTGGAGAGCGAAGATGAAATGGGGGAAATCAGCAAATCTGTTTGACAAAATAATTTAGAAAACAAAACGGTAAACTAAATAAAAAACAAAATGGTAAACTAAATGTGAGAAGACCTTACTGTGAGGCGTGAGCAGATTGTGAGGCGTGAGATAGGGTTCTTCGATTGCAAGGTGTGAGAAAATAAACAAGGCTGATTGCAAAATGAACTAGTGAGATGAAATGTCAAAAGGGGGCAGAAATTAGGGTATTAGTTTTCATATTATTTTTTTTAATCAAACAAAAAAAAATCCCCAACCCGCGAGCTGGCCCGTTTGACTCGCGGGCTGGCTCGTTTGGGTCTGGGTTGTATCGAGTCGGGTTGGCAGCTGATTAACACCAACCCAACCCGACTCATTTAGGACGGGTTGCGAGCCAACCCGACGGGTTGGCTCGTTTTTACCAACCCTAATCTTAATGGGTTTGGAACTGGCGTGGATTAGACAATTTAAATACGTATGGTTGGAATCAGACTCTTCTTCGGCTTTAGAAGTGATAGAAAAAAGCTGTCCTGATCATCTACCTTTTTCCAAGTTGGTTTCAAAGATCCAGGTCCTTTCTAGTAGAGATTGGTCAATCAGGTTCTCTCACACCCATAGAGAGGCAAGTGGAGTAGCCGACTGGCTTGCATCGAACCCGGGGACTGAGGATTGGAGTACCCAGTTTTTTGAAAATCCCCCCGGGGCTGTAGGGTTTTACTAGGCAATGATTTGACAGGTTCTTTGTACCCCAGAACTATCAGTAGCTAAGTTTTGTTTTGCTGTTTTTTCTGTTTCCTCTGTATCCAAAAAAAAAAAAAAAAAGAATTCTAATAACTTTATTGGGATGGTCTCAGGTAAAAAGACCAGATTTATTAAAACATGATGCGACGCCTATTGCATATACCTCATACATAATTGAAACTGTAAGCTTCACTTATGTATCCCTTTATTTTTCTACTTCTTTTATGCATGCTTAGTATAATAAGAAATTATCAATATATTAAATTATCATTATTGAATATCAATTTTAGCAACGTGGAGGGTACAGAGCTCAAAAATTATTTTGAACCATAGATGAGCTAATCGGCAACTTTAATATTTTGCATATCAAATATTTATCTGCTAATGACAACGAAACCTTATTTGACATTGTGAGTTTAATGGTACCATAAAAATTTCAACATTCTATTTTGTTCATGCAATTTCTTCCCATAATTTATGGTACAATTCTGTTCGTTAATTGGAGACTCCAATGGATATCACCGTAGCTAAGAGATGCAGGATATGATGTTACAGTGCGGTTTTTGCTTCTATAAATTAAACTAAAGACATGAAAATCATTTGAATGTCAAGTAGTGTTGATCCTAAATAATTTCAATTATTAACGTAGTTCATTTGGTTCTGTTTATATATATTCGTTCTACTGTAGAAAATAAATCTGACTCATAGATATGGGGTAGTCATCAACACTTACAGTTCTTTCAATATTTGAAAAAGATGAGAGATATTCTTACTACCAAAATCTTCTACTACCAACTCAATACTTATCTAATCACCAATGGATCAACATTTTCTTTTTTTTTAAATCTTTTTAGCATTCTCTTTCTTTGATTCAATGGTGATTAGATAGGTAGTAAGTTAGTAATAAAAAATTTTGATAGTAAGAATATCTTTTTTTTTAAAAAATAGTGATCAAAACTTAAACATAAGTAGTAGATGAGAGCTCCCTTTATTCTGAAAAAAATTACTTTGACACTTATAAAATGTTTGATTATTATTTGTACCGTACGTAATATGTGATAAAAGGCATTACTAAATTTTATTTATAAGTTGCATAAATTTTTACCAGATAAAAAAAACCGACTCTTTTTTCTCTCCTGTGCGTTGCACGGGTAAATAACTAGTTTTGTATAGAAAACAAAAGCAAATTAGAAAACAAACTAGAGTTCTGCATCATGCAGATAGGCTCAGTTTTATTCGCAAGCAGAAAATAGATGACTCTGAAGGCACTTGCATCAAACCAGATATCAAGTAGAACTAAGCAGATCTAGACAGGGTATTTGTATAGGTGAAGAACCTTCTTCCATGATGGTCTGCCACTAATATCATTCCACCAAGCACTCACATGTTTCCTCTCTCTTACCAAATTCCCTCTTCCAGTTTGATTCACCAAATAATGACCAAATGAGAGATGGCTAAGATCAGCAAGGCTGAAGAAATCACCTGCTAAGTACTTGCTCTTCGACAGCCTCTCCTCATAAATATCCAGCACCTTCCCAAGCTTTTCATCACTCTCTTCAATCACTTTTTGGTCTGAGGGAATTCCCTTTAATGGGGCAAACAGAACATTCCTAACTAAGTTGAGGGTTGGTGGGTGAAAGTTATGTGCTTCAACTTCAAGCCATTGTTCCACAAGACCCCTTTCTTCTATTGTTTTCCCCAACAAGTCAGTCCCTTGGGATTTATACTTTTCTGCATAGTATCTGATTATTGCACGAGATTCTGTAAAAAAAGGTTTAACAAAGTGTATTAGAATTAACATATTATTCTACATTAGCAAAAAAATAAAAGAAATGAAATCTGGGAATGTTGGCCTTCAATCTTTCACATTGAGGGTGAGACTCAGCACTGGTAAAGATATTCAATGGACGATTTCGAATTTGTGAAACGACTATTGGCAAATATATAAGGATTGCCTTCAGTGTTACCCTCATTAGTTGGGATTTCGTCTAAAGTGATTTTTCGAATTCGAATTTAGGAAAAATCTCTTTACAAATATATAAAGGTGATGCAACGTACAACAAATATATAAAGGTGATGCAACGTACAACAATTTTCGAATTCGAATTCTGATATTATATAAATAACCATTTCAACTCAAAAACTTAAATTAACTATTGAGTGAGGACCTTTTTAGTGATTTATATTATTCTCTAACAGTGAGCGTGACCAGTCCTAACCCCAGAACTCAATCTAACATCTTGATCTAAAGTTTGAAACACCCATATCAAAATGAATGATATAAAAGGAGAAATAGCAAAATCACAAATCCTTAAGTACATGGCACGAGATAAAACAAATTCAAGAAAATAGTAAAGGGGCTAAGTGGCTAACCATAGAGAGTATAATCACCATCTTGAATAACAGGAAGCGCTCCAAAAGGCTGTAGATTTATGAGAAATAGGTATCAATAAAAATAAAATAAAATAAAAATAAAAATCTAGAAACCCAGTGAGGTAAGAAGTGTTGTAAAGCAAAAGATCAAGTGAAAAAAAAAAATTGAACCTGCAACTTGAGGAACTCAGGATCTTTGTGTTCTCCCTTGAAGATATCAACAGGTACCGTTTCAAATTTAACTACCTTCTCAATCAGACACACCATCACCCGTTTTGGGGAAGCATAGGTTGGGCCATACACCTTCACCACCATATTTTCTATAGATATTTGCTACCTACAATATTCAGGAGTTGTTCTTGTTTGTCCGTCCTCTGGGTCATGTTGCTGCATCTTATAGGGTCTATCTAGTGGAAAAGGAAAGTTTCGTTCTGAGATAGTGATTATCAACATCAATGGTAATTGCTTAGAGCAGGAGAAAATTTAATTAGTATTTAAAATCATAGAAGTAAATATGAGGAAAGGAAAAACAACGGAATATTTAAATAAAAGGTAATATATTTCTCCTATTACATGAAAAGAATATTCTCCCGTAACAAGCATAAAATTCAAGTGAGACCTAGAGAAAAAATACAAATAACACTAACCTATATTGAAAGTCTTAAAACGAGAAAATAATCACCATGGAGAGTAAGTGGTTAACAATAGGGAGTGTAATCACCACCTTGAAGAGCATAATGAAATTTGTGATATAAGAAAACAAAAATCATTATCTCAATTTTTTTATAAAATCACTTTTTACAAACATAATTATCGTCAATAACAATTTTTAGAAAAGAAATTGGTTATGAAGAAATATTGAAGATAATCCATCTACCAAAAAAAAAAAAGAAATAATGAAGATAATTACATACACTTTTAAAGAATTTAAAACTATAAATTCTTAACATAATTGGGAAATGAAAATAGACAACGGTTATACAAATAGATGTGACAAATCTCGCTCAAAAAAGCGCAACCCATACATGAAACACATCTAAAAAAGACGTAATCAGTCTCATAATATAATATGAATGTGTATATGTAATTATATTTTCAAGTAATCTTAAAAAATATTTTTAATTCTCGTAAAGTAATATTAAATTTACGAAAATTAAAAAATTTAAAAAATTTAATATAAGCATACTAATAAATTTTTAAAATATAACAATATAAATATCTGGGACATGACTTTAATGAAGAGGAAGGTTAAATTTTTGGGAAAGGACAACTATTCATTCCGAAATAGGACAACTATTCATTCCTAAAAGAGAAGCGGAAAACTTTTTTGAAAAAAAGAGGAAGGTTAACATTTTTGGTTAAATGTGAGGAATATTTCAAAAAAGGAAAAATTAAAACAATTTCAAAAATTTCTTGTAAAAATCTAATCTAGAAAAGGAAAACGTTTTTTTAATGATTTATATTATTCTCTAACACTCCCTTACACAAAAGTCTTTTGAGTTTGAAACGTGTATATCACACATTTACCTTGTGCTTAATTAATTTCACTAGAAAGTAGAGGTAGGTGAGGATCGAACTCATAAAATTCTGATTTATGTATATAACAATTTCAACTCAAAACCTTAAACTAACTATTGGGTGTGGACTTTTTTAGTGATTTATATTATTCTCTAATAGTGAGCATAACCAGTCCTAACCCCAGAACTCAATCTAACATCTTGATCTAAGGTTTGAAACACCCATATCAAAATGAATGATATAAAAGGAGAAATAGCAAAATCACAAATCCTTAAGTAAATGGCATAAGATAAAACAAATTCAAGAAAATAGTAAAGGGGCTAAGTGGCTAACCATAGAGAGTATAATCACCATCTTGAATAACAGGAAGCGCTCCAAAAGGCTGCAGATTTATGAGAAATAGGTATCAATAAAAATAAAATAAAATAAAAATAAAAATCTAGAAACCCAGTGAGGTAAGAAGTGTTGTAAAGCAAAAGATCAAGTGAAAAAAATAAAATTGAACCTGCAACTTGAGGAACTCAGAATCTTTGTGTTCTCCCTTGAAGATATCAACAGGTACCGTTTCAAATTTAATTACCTTCTCAATCAGTGTTAATATATCCTAATGAAGTAACTAACGCTGACGTGGAAAGAGATGCAGTTAAAGTTAGTTTGTAACTGTATCCAGTTTGTTACACGGTTAGGAATCTGTTGTGTATAGTTGGAAGTTTGTTATACTCATTATTGATTCTTCTGCTTGACACCATGATATATAAGGTGGAATAGCTGTAATGTAAACTCAGATTTCATAATACAATGAATTTTCATATATTCAAGATGGTATCAGAGCAATAGCTCTGGGCCATCAACCACATTCCGCGATGCAATTTTAGCTCTCTGTTCTTTGTTCATCTTCTTTCTGTTTCTTGTTCATCTAATCTTCTTCTTCAATCAATCTTTCGTTTCTGTTCATAGTCATGGCAGAACAAAACCAATTATCAGATCCATACTATCTTCATCCCAACGAATCACCATCTTTAGTTCTTGTTTCTCCATTAATGAATGGAAAGAACTATCATGCGTGGTCAAGAGCCATGAAAGTGGCTTTGATTTCCAAGAACAAGATAGTGTTTGTCAATGGCACTATCACTGCTCCTGCAGAAGATGATGCAATCTTTCCTTCCTGGGAGAGATGCAACACAATGGTCCTCTCATGGCTTCACAAGTCTATAGCTCAGTCGGTTGTCCAATCTATTCTTTGGATTGACAAAGCTTATGATGTATGGAATGACTTGAAAGATCGGTTTTCCCAAGCAGACACTTTTCGCATTGCAGATTTACAAGAAGATCTGGTTCAAACTAATCAAGGTGATAAAACAGTATCCGATTATTTTACAGTTTTGAAGGCACTTTGGGATGAACTGAATAATCTTAGACCACTTCCACAATGCACATGTGGAACTTTGATTCAATCACGAGAACATAGGGAGACAAATCAGGTCATAAGGTTCTTAAGAGGCCTTAATGAAAATTTTGCACAAGTTCGATCCCAAATAATGCTCATGTCTCCTCTTCCAAATATAAACAAAGCATTTTCTTTCGTGCAACAACAAGAAAGACAGCTGCGAACTGATTCATACAGTGATAATGTAAGTGAAGCAAAGGCATTTGCTAGTTCATCAGAGAATCCACGTGGTCATGGACCTTCATACAGAGGAAGAGGAAGATTCATTGGTGGACGCAGTTCAAGTACTAGCAACAAGTATTGTACTAATTGCAAGAAGACAAATCACACCATTGACACATGCTACTTCAAGCATGGCTTTCCCCAAGGCTGCAGGTCAAAGAACATTCAAGGATCAAGTAATGCAGTTCTAACTGAACAGAATGCAAATACTGTGGTCAGAGATCAAGATGTATCAGCTCCACTGATGTCTTTTTCAAAGGAGAAATATGAGGACTATATGGCTTATATGCAGCAAAACAATCATGTCCATTCCACCAACATGGCAGTCAATGAGAACCTTCCTATGACAGGTAAAATTTCGATGCAATGGCTCTTAGATACAGGGGCCACAGATCACATCACACATATTCAATCCATATTCACATCCATTCACAAGATTACACCTATATCTGTTTTCTTGCCTGATGGATCATCTGTCATTGCTTCATATGCTGGAAATGTGGACATTTCTTCCACCCTTACCTTAACGGATGTATTATATATTCCAAAATTCAAGGTGAATCTGATATCTGTCACAAGATTGCTTGAAAATGCTGACTATTTCTTGGTTTTTCATGCAACACATTGCTTGATTAAACAGAAAACCAATTTGAGGACGATTGGTACAGCTAGAAGAAGAGGAGGACTGTTTGTCATGACAACTGGATCTGCACAACTCAATTCGAGTTTCCAAGTCTGTCATTGTCATAGATGTTACTTGTGTAATAAAAATAATGATTTTCGATTATGGCACCTTAGATTGGGCCATATTTCAGAGAATATTTTGAAGCATGTTGCTTCTCAATTTTCCTTTATACCAAATAGGCATGTCAAACCCTGTGACATTTGCCACTTTGCTAAGCACAAGAAGTTACCATTTCCTGTTAGCAACTCGTCCGTGAATAAAGTTTTTGAAAGACTACATGTTGATATTTGGGGGCCATTTATGGTTCCTGCTATTCATGGATATAGATATTTCTTGACTTTAGTTGATGAATTCTCTCGGTTTACTTGGGTCATTTTCATGGTCTACAAAAGTGAAACAAGACAGCTTTTACAAAATTTCATCAAACTCACTGAGAACCAATTTAATACTTCCTTGAAGTGCATTAGAACCGACAATGGGAAAGAGTTCATTATGCCAGAATTTTATTCTTAGCATGGAATTGTCCACCAAACCAGCTGTGTAGAGACACCACAACAAAATGGGTTGGTGGAAAGAAAACACCAGCACATTATGAATGTAACAAGAGCACTAGCTTTCCAAGCATCCATCCCTCACTCACTTTGGAATTATGCAGTTTCACAAGCTGTGTTAATCATTAACAGTTTGCCTACCCCATTGTTGAAATACAAATCTCCATATGAGATTCTTCACTCTAAACCACCCCTACTATCCAATCTTCGAGTTTTTGGTTCCCTCACATATGCCTCTACCCTTAATTCCCATAGACATAAACTCTCTCCTCGAGCAAGAACCACACATGATTTTCAAATCCCTGCCATAGCCAATTCGCCCATCCTCGCTGATAACAATCATACTAATA